GTCACACACCTTCGCTCTGTCTCTCTGATTGGCTCGAGGGGGCTGTGGCGGTTGTCCTTTTCCAGGTTACAATGATACAAAGTATTGGCAACCCACACTTTTCAAAAAAGGCTATTGAAGAGACCGAAAGCAATGGTCAACATTTTTCAACAAGACTGCTCTTCAGGCAAGGGATGAACGCAAATATGAATCTACTTATCCAGGTAATTAGACCAAGTAAATAATTGACTGACTAATACAATGCAGTTTTGATGAAAAAAAGTATTGCTGCAATAAATCCTACGAAAGAGAAAAAGGTGCAGTAATCTATGCATACACCAAAACAGTTGTTGTTATTGCAAGTCGAATAGCTTTGAAGCAGGTGCCTGCAACGATTTATTCATCCCCACACTCAATAAAACGTAATCCTCGTAGCTGAAAATAAGTGTGCACTTCGCACTCACCAAAAAAGGAAGAAAGGCGATCGAATGTAGAATCGCCGATTAGCACAAAGGGCGCAGGAGCTTCCTCGCTAAAAGTTGCTAAGGTTATTCGGTGACGCAGGCCTGAAACAACTTCTCCTAGGCCCTAACGCGACGTATACCTTTCGCGTCGATTCATAGCCGTTTCAATGTTCAAACAAAGCTAAGAGAACGCAAAAATTTCATGCTAAAAGCACTCAAAGTTCTGTCGATCCTCGAACACATCCCGGAATCCGAGCACCGGTACGGCGATACGGCTGATGCTGTCTCACAGGTGTTAATATCCATATGATCCAGAGCGATCTTGCGCACAAAGGGTACAAAGTCTCATTCCTTCATATTTTCACATATACCTGCGTCAGCGAGCACGAAAAAGCCCGAAATCGTCGGAAAGCCGCTGCACATCACGGCTGCCGCGCACCGAACAAACTCGCATCCGCCAGCTCTGGGCGCTGCCATCTTACCTGCGACGTCACGGCTCTTGTGAGGTCACGTGACGAGTGGTCACATTTGCGTAAAACAGGGCGGCAACCGGGGGGTGCCACTTCGGAACTTCCGGTTTATCACTCTAAGCCCCTCTACCTCGTTGGGCGGGGCGTACTTCTCCTCCGCGCAGGTCGAAAGAGCGGGAGTTTCAAATGACGAGAGATTGTGACTCCGACTAAATTACGTCCTATGGCGTAAATATTTCTAAAAAAAATTGTTTCCGCGGAAGATTCCTTTTGTGACATGCTTGTCCCAATTAGGCTGTTTAAAAAGAACTGTTTTTCCTTTGCAGTTACTCTTTAAGTACTTTTTCTTTCGAGCGAGGCCATGCTCAGCAAATGCATTTTAAGATGGAGTGCAGTTCAAACAACGTCATATGCATCGCATGCATCCAATATGGCACGAAATAGGAACACTCGAACTCTCAAACAACGCACATATTTAGCTGATCAGAAAACGAGTTTGCAAACTTTGGAAGTGAACTAAATTTACTCGAGAATAGGTAGCTTTTCAAGGAAGGTAACTTCAAGATACCGACAATTAGGTCTCAGTACCAGACTAGCCAAAGAGAAAAGCCTCTTTACCACCGCCAAAACGAATAAACGCCGCCTCTATGGAAGCGAAGTTCTAAAACATTGAGACGTATTTCCTGGGGATCGTCAAGGTAGCTAAACTCTTTCGCACTCGAATGAGTCAGTCCTGAAGTTGCAAAAAATTAGGAATCACCGCTTTCAATGTCGTACAAAATGTGGACGTGGTCTACCCAAAATCACCCCAGGGAATCGTCAAGCTGAATAAAAGAGTTTTTTTTTTTCATCGGTACCCCCGTCGTTCATGATGTAAATAAACGATGTTTGAATATCTCGAACGAAGTGTAGCTCCATATGGTTTAACTGCTTCACGATTGCTGAAGACAAGTAAGCTTGTCTTCGTTATTCTCATAAACCTTGGAAGTACACGAGTCTATCGCGCGTTCACATATCCGAAACCACCCAGGGCATTCCCTAACCAAGCATAAGTGTAATGCATTGCATAACAGATTCGATGCTCTCCGCGTTTACCAGAATGATCTTTCCTCTATCAAGGCTCTGACGTCATGCCGCAGTGGTGAAGTTGCTGTCGACGCCGCGCCTGTGCAGACAATTTACCTCATGGGAATCTGTCCTCTGCGCACGCGTAGTGTTCAAGGCTGGTGTCAGCAAACGCCAACTTGTTTATAAGCAGCTCTTTGGCTTATAAACCGTTCGTTTTTGATTTGGCCTCCATTTGTTTCATTTCGACACACATGGGTTGGGGCAAAATACGAAATTACTTCTTTCAGCCGTTTGCGAGACGTCAGGAGTCAAGTGGTAAGAACTGCTAGTTCTATTTTAGCACCGGCTTTTCTTGTTAAAAGTTGGTTGAAACTGTTTTTCTTTTTTTTATTCTTTGTCGCCTAGCCCAACTACTTCACATGTATTCGTAGCACCCCTCCCACGAAAACGGTCTACACAGGTCACCAACTGATGGGGTGCAAGTGGGAAAGGGGAGATCAAGAGATAGCTCTTGGTATTGCGCACGCGCGTAGACCAAAGCAGGGGCGCGTGACATGTGCTTACAATTTCTGCGTGAACCTAAGTGAAGGCCACAACCACGTCGCTGCTGCTAAGATGTCATCAAATACATGGTTGTATAGATGTACTCATACTTCTGTTGACCGAAAGGGCACTAACCCTCGCGTTGCGCTTTTTGCTTTATTCTGGCCGGAACGCTTTGTCTCTGGCTAAAAGTACACCTAGCAGTTTGGATCACATGTTAGTTTCCTAGCCCTACCGTTATCTTGTGCAGAAGTTAGAAACAATTTTCAAAAATATTCGATGTAAAAACTAGGCCTGTTGACGGAAACACGCCCCATGTATCCACGGGTTTTGATGGCACCGACGAATGGATTGCATGACTGCTGATTGTCCACGGCACCATGCCATATTCCTCTTCCATGGCAGTTAATTATTAGAATTCAATCTCTCCACATACTTAATCCGTTGTTCTAACAATCCCTTTGTTTGTTTGAACTTTTCCGATATGATTTATCCCTGGAGGTTTTCCGCAAAAACCTTCTTGTCAATTACATCGGAATTAGCCTTAACACACACAAACACACGGGTTACAGTCACGTCTTAACAAAAACAGGTATGAACGTCCTATATTCATACTTGTGCCATTCTATTACCCCTATGTCCATTCTATGAATTCCTGAAAACAGTTCATGGACCGTTTATGGAGCGCTGGTTTGCCATAGAACGGCCGTAACAACGATATAGGGTTCTCCCAATACAGAAACTTTTTTTTATTCCTTGGCCATGCTATGGCACTGGTGAGTCTGTGGACATCCTATTTCCTCTCTAATCTACCAACCTATAGGTTGGTAGATTAATAAAGTGATGCCGAGTACATGTTTTCTTTAGGTGTAGGGAAATGTCCGAGTTAAACAGTTTTTAATTAAGCGCCAGGCATCGATATGTTTTATATTGATATCTATAGGGACATGTCCGATTTCAGTGCATATTCAATTCGGGGGATGTAGCGTTCAGTATGTACCGAAATAATTCTTACCTGTTGTTATCTTATTCTGAATACGATTGAAGAGCCGCCCGATAGCGACGACATGAAACATGAAAGGTCCTTGTATGACTAATGCTAGAGTGACTGAATGTTCCCAGAGGGCTGACACTCCCAGGCTGGAGGTGCCAAGATGGCGGCTCAACCTTTTTTCTTTACTGTGGTCACCATGAGATTTAGAAAGCATGTATTTGCGTAAAAACGATTGGAAAAAGTTCTGTTTGTAGGAACATTTATCGGAGATTAGTACAAAACGACTGTCGCGTGATGTTTTCTGAAATATTTAGTTTAGAAGATTGTGCGGCATAATTAATATTGTTTTTGTACAACCATGTCTCATCGGTCATTTTAGATAGCGCGTCTTGACCTGGGCGCGTCTTTACTTCGGTAGTAATTCGCGGCGCGTCCACTTGGAAGTAGGAGGATGTCATTCCTGAAAACTTTTCCACCGTATATGTTTCGGCGCCCAAATAGCCGATTAAATCCAAAATAGAAGAGTCGTAGCGGACGCGCTATCGAATGTGATACTCCCGAACCAATACAAGCAACCGTGCAGTTCCTCGAGTGGTTCCTGCGGTAGAAATGGCGACGTTGAGATGGCTATTAGTTCGGTTATACAGCACGGATCAAAACCACTTTTTCAGAGAAGGCTCTATGGCAGTTTCCCAACTGAGTTGTTTTTGTGACGTTAATCTCTGAGGACCCCGTAGCTATACCCCTGTAGACACAGTGGCTTCTATGCGGACTTCATAGGGACTCCGTGCAGACGCTGTATGGCCTCTCTGCAGTCCCCATAAAGACCTCGTGTAGACTCGTATGGCTTCCCTCCGGGCCCCGTGGGTACTCTCCGTAGATCTTGTATGGGTTCTCTGGAAGCACACTACAGACACCATACGAATCCTGTGTAGACAACCTATAGAGTCCGTATGGGCTCTATAGGCTGTCTTAGTATAGAGAGGATATAGGATGTCCTTACATCGTCGCCTGAATAGGACGTCCATAAACCGTCTGTTGGCCAATATTCAATAGGGCGGCCATATGATGACTTCAGGAAGGTAACAGTAGTCGTGGTCTACCTATAGATTCCTAAAGTTCTTCCTAAGCACGCTGTTTTATAGAACGTCCTCGGAGTGTTCATACATATTTTTTTTGTAAGGGCTAATATTTTAAGAAGAGCAGGGGCGATCCTGTGCACCTTCTTAAATCTCTGTAGCAATTGAGACTGCAGCATCAGCCAATAAGGACGTCAAACAGCCGATCCGGATTGAAAACATTAATATAGAATCCAATTCCTGCGTTTCATAAGCTGCCACGGTTTGCAACAAAGACTTTTATTAAAAACTCTTAAATGAGACCACGCATGTGCAAAGCTTATCACCACACATTCTTTTTTTTTTTTTTTTTGCTGACCTTTTGCTGTTGGCGGCAGACCAAAGACGATAAGCGACGAGGAAAGATCTGGTACAACATCTTTATTGGCGTCGACTGCGTGGCTGCAGGATTCTCGCTGCCACGACACACATTTGGTAATAAATATGTACATGGGTGTATATATAAGGGCAGCAAGTATCTGCACATCAGAGGCGGGGACAGTCAAATATCTTGTGAGGTCTTTTATCACGCCGCACTGGGTCAGGATCTACTCACTTTCTTTTTCTCGCGGGTTCTCACTTTCACCGGTGTCTGTTTCACAGACAGAGCTATCACCACGCACCACAGGTCATTCCAAACACGACACATAGCCTCGGGAGTTCGGCGTAAGCCCATCTCAGCCGTCGTCGAACGTCGAACTATGCTTGCAAGCCGTGCACTCAAACACAGTCTCTCGCGCCCCATCTACTCCTTTAAGAACGCTGCAGTCACACGTTCCAGCCGGGTACAAAATAGACAGTCGTTGTCGAAACTGCGACGACCATTTTTCTTAAGGGACGTCGTGATACACTCTGATACACCTACAACTCACCACGCCAAGGAAACTTAGACAGGACCTCGAAGGTCCTCCTCAAGACTCATTTGAAATGTCCGGAACACTGCCAGCTGACACCATGACAGGCTCTTCGCTAGACGAGCCTGGACTGCTCTCAAGATTATTTTTAGGAATATAACAGCCGTTTCTCAAGCCCCTTTTAGAAGCATCGAATTGGTCACTGTTCACGGTTGTTCCTGACTGGCCTCCAAAACCACAAAAGAAAGGAAACAACGGTTGTTCAGACTTCGGTCCCTTCGTAATTTCCTTCAGCGTAACCTTCGTCCGGAGAGTAGCGGGCTTCCGTCCCCGCCGGTAGGCAGGGGGGCGCTACTGGCGGTGCCCTCTTCCAACACACTGGTTCGGTAGGTCTCCAAGGGCCAGCCGCTTCTGGAGGGAACGCGGCACCAGGCTCACAAAGTCCGTACTGGCCGTAGCATGGATCGGCAGGGTTAGCGTACCCGTTGCCCATCGGACCGTAGACGTCAGGTCTGACGTAGAGTTGATCCCCCGCGCCCTTCCCGCTGACCAGATCGGGAGCAGTCTGCTCCGAACCAGGACCCTGCTCGTCCTGAGGCGACCGCTGCAGAGCGGCTAGCTGAGCCGCTTTGGTGCCGCATGGCGTCGTCACTTCGACCAGGTCTGCTTTACGCGCAAGTTGCTTGATCATACCGGGGAACTTTGAGCGGGACGCCACCAGTGCTCGTTGTCTGGCCACAAAGAAGCAGAGTACCATGGCCAGGACGACCAGGATCAGGAAACTCGCCAGGATGATGGCGACCTTGTGGGTTCGCGAGAGTCCCTGGGTCATCGGAAGTGCCTGGACCACCGTCAGGGTCGTGTTGGCCACCCGGAGCCCCGCACGGTTCTCGGCGATGCAGACGTAGACACCGTTGTCTTCGGGTCCGACCCTGAACACCGACAGCCAGCTAAGTTGGAAAGGGCCGCTTTGTTCGCGTTGAATCTGGAAGCGAGTGGTGTCGAGTTCTGGACCGCTGTCACCGCCAGTGCTGTTCATGGCGCCGTAGCCCCAGTCCGCCGCTTCCCACCTGCATAAAGTACGTATATTTGGGAGATCATTATGCTTTGTTTGTGTTGGGTGTCATAGCGCGGTCGGATAAATGTAACTCCACGTATGTTTCGTTAATACGCCAAGCGTGGTCGTAATTATGTCGTCCTAACTCATGAGGTTAGCGAAAGGCGCATCTGTGTCCTGCTTATATTATAACACCGAACATCATGCTAAAACTAGTATTTTCGCAGCGGCATATTGTCTTACACAAGAAAAATTCCCTGTTGGCTCTGGGCCCTCAGAAACATCATATTAAGACTTTAATTAACTCGGTCTAGTTACCCTCGTGAATACGCTTGTGAAAGGACATACCGCTAGCTCATCTTGTTGTAAGAACACAGAAGTGTGAAACTATTATGACAAGAACAAAGAATAGGAACTGAAAAGGAGTGTTATGATATGGTGACTGCATTGTGTTCATTGTTGCTTAATGCAGAACTCGTGGAATTTTGTCATATTGCCGTTGTCTCGCCTATCAGAGCAGAACTCTTAGATCCCCATTTTTTATGTTCCTTTAATATACCCAGTTTCAATCTTACCTCTGGGGTACATAGAAGACGCTGAGAAACATATGCAAGTTAATTTTGGGGTAGAGAGCGGGGACAGCCAATCACAGCAAAGGATACAAAGATCCCAGCGAATGGAAAGGTTCAGAATATAAGTATTTTTTTAATAGTGCAATGTATACGCACGTATACAGAGAGCAAGTAAAGCATAATTCTCATAATCCTTGCGGCCACCACATTTTCAATTGTAGTCATATATAAGCTTTTAATTTGCGGGCACCATTCTATTGAACGACGTCATTAGCGGCATGTGTGTTCTGCAAAAAACAATGAACTCACATATATATATTTAAGAGTGTAGAGTCAGCAAAGCACGTGTACATAAGAACGCCACGCGAAAAACTCACCTGATGTTTGCCGGCGGATCTGCCCTGACCCTGCAGACGAGCGTGGCATTCCTGCCCTCTTGGACACTAACCAGCGAGTCCGCGTGCACCTGCGGCGGACACGCGAACTGGTCCAATGACAACGCATCCCAGGACGCTGACTCGAGCCTCGGCGGCCCGGCACACTTTGGTGGCACGCTGAGCGGAATGTTCCGAGCGTTCATCCACCGCCGAAGACTGCTGAGGCGACAGTCGCACTGCCACTGGTTCCCATGAAGGTAGAGGGTAGACAGCCTTGGCAACACGGAGACCGCCTGTGCGGGAAGCGTGGCGAGCCGGTTTCCATCGAGAAGGAGGAACTCGAGGGCCGGAAGGCCATCCAGGGCTCCCAGGTCCACGGACCTCAGCTGGCACCGGGAAAGGTGGAGGTAGTTCAGATGGCTCAGACCGGTGAAGCTGCCGTTCTCCAGCTGGGCGATAGGGTTCCCGCTGAGCTGGAGACGACGCAAGTGCGGCACGCTCACGAGGGCCGAACTCGGCACCGCCGTGAGCAGGTTCCAACTCAGGTCGAGTTCTACGAGGTTGGTGAGCTGCTGGAACGCGTCGCTGGCGACGCGCCCGAGTCGACACTGCGCGAGAAACACGCGCTGGAGGTTCACCAGACCGCGCTCCTGGAACGTCCGTCCGGGAAGCGAGTGGAAGTTGTTTCTCTCCAGGTGTATGACCTGCAGTCCTGGTGGGAGCCCCGCCGGCACAGAGAACAGTCCCTGGCTCATGCACTCGGCAGTGTGCTTGCCATTCTTCCACTTGCACGAGCAGGCGTTGGGGCAATGTCCTGAGCTGGACGGAGCGGAGGAAGAAGAGGATGGAGACGACCCGGAGCTCGAAGTCGACTCAAGAGCAGACGACGATGGGACCTCAGTTGCCTGCAGCAGGCAGCAGAGGAAGAACCACCACTGGGGAGTCATCCTCAAAAACGTCACGTGTGGCCTGTCCTCTCCGGGACGGTTGCGGACATCACGACGGCCGGCCTGCGAGTATCAAGAATTACAAGAAAATACTGCTGTCAGCACAATTTGGTTATAAGCACCGGTCTTTTATTTATTTATTTTGAATACCCTCATGTCCAATTAGGCATTACAGAGGTGATGGGTACATTGAGTAAATACATCAACAGTGGTACAATCTGCAGTAAAAATACAAACATTAAACAAGCGCAGGATTCGAAAAAAATATTTGCTTATGGCGGATTTAAATGATTTAATTTCATTTGTATTACCTTAAGGGCCTCTTACATAAGGGGGTGTCATAATCAAGGCTCAAAAATAAGACAAAAAAAACAATACAAAAAAAAGTAAAAAGTAAATAATGACGAATCTTTAACGAAGGCGATGGAAGGGGTAAGCTGGTTCAGTTTGAGCTGGTCTTGGGGATGAAAGGATCAAAAAACGTAATTCTGCTGCATGAAGGAATGTCAACTTTGAACTGGTGATTCATGCGGGACGAGAGGTATGAGAGTGCAAAATAAGTCCCTGTTTCAAAGAAGGGTTATAAAACAAAATTTTATGAAAGAACGAGAGCCGGCGAAATTTTTCTTCGAATGAACAGATCAAGAAGTGCGAGATTAGATTTCATTAACCGAACGCTATCAAGACGAAAATAGATAAAATAAAGAGCGCTGATCGATTCTGGGCAGATTCGATTCCATCAATGAGAGTACGTAGAGCAGGGTCCCATATACTTGACGCGTATTCTAGCTTTGGGCGGATGAGTGTCCGTAATAGGAGTAGCTTGAGAGAGGAGCGGACTTGGGCAAAATTACGGCGCAAGTAGCCGAGGGTGCGATTTGCATTGTTAATGGCGTAGTTAATGTGGGTATGCCATTATAAGTTATTAGTAATGTGAACACCTGAGAACTCTTAGGATGTGACATGCTCCCATGAGGTGCCATTAATTTTGTAGTTGCAGGTTCGAGAGGAATTAGAGAAGAGTGAGGTATTCAGGCTGCTGCATTTGCTTATGTTTAAGGATATCAGCCACTTGTTACGCCAATTAGCAATGTTGTCAAGGTCAGATTAAAGGATATAATTATCAGATTGGTTGATCATTTCACGTTAAAGAACACAGTCATCAGCAAACAACTTTATCGAACAGTGAATGCTGTCGGGAAGATAATTAATATATATTTAAAAAAAATAAGAGACCCAAAACATAACCTTGAGCGACGCCAGATTTTACGACAGAAAAAGATGAGCTACAGATGTTTGCCGTTACAAATTGGGTGCTGTTTGGTAAAAAGCATTCGAGCCATTTTAGAATATTAGGGCCAATATTTAAAGGTACTGATTTTAGGATCTAATAAATGATGGGGTACCTTATCAAAAGCTTTAGCGAAGTCGAGGAAAACGCAGTGAAATGATGATTCATAATCTAGGCCTGAGGTTATGTTATGAGCAAAACAGAGTAGTTGCGATGCACAGGAGTAATGTTTACGAAAACCGTGATGAAATGGACTTAAAATGAGTTCGACTGACCAGATTTATGCAGAGGAACCACCTTACCCACGATCGAATCATGCGGTACCAGAGAACAATGGATAGACTGCCTAAATGTTTGCGACAAAGATATAGACGAGTAAACCTCCGTGTTTTTAAGATATTCGAATTAATTCCATCAGCGCCACAAGAAAGAAAAAGTTTCAGATTCTGAATTAGATGCATAATTTCTACAGAATGAATAACAATCCGGTCCGGTGGGAAAAATGGCGAGAAGATACTTGAGTCACAATGCTAGAAGAAGGATCAAAAAATTATTTCGAAAAGACGTCGTTTAACACTGAGCAACATTCTTCAGTGTGGATGACATACATATTCGAATTTAAATTAGATATAGCGTTTTTAAGTGTAGGTTTTATCATCTTCCAAAACTGCTAGGATTTCAAGAAAGAATCAAGGCGAAGCTATTGTTAAGGAAAGTGGGCTTCGCCTCTTTGATAGAGGTGCGATAAGCCCACGGACTGTCTTAATGTACGCACCAACGAATAGGATTCTGTGCGTTTCACCAAACGAAATAGTCGTTTTGTGTGTGTGTGTGTGTGTGTTTTGGCAATTCATCTCGGGCGGTACTGAACCAACGTGAACGTTGTTTATTGGAGATGATACGAAGTGGTATATATTTATAAATTAACGACATGACTTTTTTCTGAATAAATTCCGATTACATTCTAAATTGCGTTAAAAAGAAGGCATACATTTATCAATTAATAGCTCAAACTCGGTATCAATTTGTGAATAATCTCCTGTTTTGTAGTCTCTAAGTGTTAACAACAATGTGGCGATTACGTGTGAACGCTCGTTTAGAATGGGTTATGTTTCCGCTATCGACCGCAGCAATAGTCATACAGTTCTGGCAGAATAGCAGGATTTACCGGAGCTATAGTTTCATCTCTCAATAATGAATTTTGATAATAATGATAATGAATGCACAGGGCAAGTTAAACAAAAAAGCATAGAAAACAAAAAAGATGTTCAACACTGAAAACTTTGAGATGGCCTGTTTCTTTACTTAGTTGCACCTCGGTCTCTGCCATCGATCTTGGGAGTATACTTGGTCTGGTAAGTTAGGCAACTACTTGTTGAAACACATAAATAGTCAACTGTACATTACCGCACTCAGTGGTCTCATTTTAATGCCAAAGTATTGAATGTCCCATGGAGCGAGCTGACGTCATCAGTTTGAAGCGTGAAAACGGCACCTAGTTTCCTTCAGTTTCATTGGCTGTCGCGCGTCGACAGGACTCCCATTAGCCGCTGCGCACGTCAGTTTTCACGACCGTTCACCCCATCGCGCTGCTTGTCCATCAGCGCGCCAAGGTGGGCACGCGCGCTGACCGGCGACGAAAAGTACGCAGCTGACGAAAAAGGCAGCGGACGAGCGGCTTCCATGCTTTCGAATTCACGACTCATAGGAAATGCTTAGGCGTACCGCGAGCTTTTTTTCTTCTCATTCCTTTAATCACAACGGAGGGTTAAGAACTAGTAAAAATATGCATCATTGACAATTCAAGAAACGCAAAGTCCAGAGCATCTCATTACTGCTCAGCAGCCAATGACATTACGTTATTCCTTTACAAAAACGCCCAAGAACAAAGCAAGGAGCTTTAGAATAATAAGTCACGCCCTGTGTCTCTTAGAGTGTCACCAACTATAGTTACTTAAAACATGAGAGCATGAAACGCAGGCTGCAAGCCCATTTGCCTGGGAAAAACTGGGTCACTGGGTCACGTAGTAGGAACCAACTTTACTTATGTCATCACAGAAAGAGAAGATCATTCATCAGCACTCTTTAGTTTAAAATTAACGCACAAAAAATAAAACTCCGCTTAATGCGAAGTGGACCTCCGCACATCAAAAGTTGAGTGGCGCACTTTTTTTTCTGTGCAGTTTTTGAAGTTGTTTTGACCCATCAGATCATAGTCCTAATTGACAGTCTCGTTCACGGGAATAATCATCGTCGCAAACCCTTACAATAACTAGAGCGGAAGTCCCCCAACTTCCGCATTAAAGTCAGCTTTGAACGGCATCCCCTCGCGGTCTCCCAACACGGCCGTCCGTCCCCCTCAAACCACCAACCGAACCCACGCCTCAAATTAACTGCGGTGACGATGGTAGACGCGCTGGCGGACAACCGGATCGCATAACGCACAACACACATACACACGCGCGCGCACACACACACGCACAGACAGACGCACGCACTGATACACACACAAGCAAACACAAACGCACACTCACGCTCGCACACGTATACATATTTACATGCACACACGCGCACACACACACGGAAACTCGAGGCTCGCGTTCATTCGGCTAAGCACCGGGTAAAGCGAAGCTATCGGAAACGCCCCTTGGCATAACGAAACTCATCGAGCGCGAGGCTGGAGTGACTTTAGGGTCCGATGCCGTCGAAGAAGCGGGGGAAGCCGTGGTCGACCACCGAACTGGCTGCCCACCGAGGCGCAGCCCCAAACCATCCGCCCACCCCTTCCTCCCCCCCCTCCCCCTCCACTACCCCCACGACTCTGCCGATAAGGACAGTCTCCTGACGAACACTGTAATTAAGCGGGAGAATGGCGACACCGCGAACCACCTCTCCTCTCCTCTCCTCTCTTCTCTCTCCCCCCCGACTTGTCCCTGTGGCTTCGAAAGTCTCACACCCTGCGTGAGGACCACGGGAAAGGGGGGGGGGGGGGGGGGGGAGGGGGCAGGAGCCGGCGGCATGTCCCCAAATTGGGCGAGATAAGGGTTTTTGAATCTAGGCAGTAAAACGGTGGGGTCATAAGCGAGAACAACGGCGCGCGGTGGGGCTGGTAAGCCGTGGCCTTTCTAGGGTCGTGCGGATTTGGAAAAGGATAATGGAGTAAAGTTTTGTGCTTTTTTTTTCTTTTGGAAAGAACACGATGACAGCAAAAATAACAAATTACCATCGCTAAAGTCAAACAATGCGTGCAATGCAATACTTAAGAAAGGATTGTTTAAACTTGTTCAGAATACATGAAACAGTCGTTGCGAAAGTGAAGAGCATTTTGTTTATTAGTTTCCCCGCTAAGTAGGCCTGGACGCCACGTGGCGTCAGGCAATGTGACATCACGATATCACGTGATATCACATAGCATGGTGATCCTAAGTCCCGTGACCACGTCACATGACGACCGGTCCCGAGCCAGGATTTTTTCGCACACTGAGAAGGGTTGTTGATGGCAGACGATAAGTTGCTTTGCTCACCGCTCGTGCTCATGACGTCATCTGAATGCATCCTGTAGGATGGTACACTTTTCATCAACTTACGCGTTCCTCAAAGAGAGAATATTCGAAACTACGCAGATAAATGAACTGCACTCGATGGAATGGGAAAAAGGTTACGCTTGAGACGTTTGCCTGTCGCCGTACTTCTGTCCCTTCTTATTTATCTTTAAGTTTGCTTCCCAGACTCAGGGTTTCAACATCATGACTAAGGTTAAGAAGCCGCCAAA